CTTGCTTAAACCCAAAACCCTAAATGCCCTCTACCTTGCTGAATCCCCCCTCCCTTGCTGAATCTCCACTTCCTTGCTTAATCACCCCTATCTACTCCCTCTCTTGCTGAATTCCCACCCTCTTGCTTAGTCACCCTTACCTTGATTGATCATCCCTACCTTGCAGGATTGTCCCTTTCTTGCTGAATCCTCCCTCCCATTCTTAATCTCCCCTACCTTGCTTAATCACCCCTACCTTGCAAAATCACTCCTACCTTGCTTAATCACCCCTGCTTTACTCAATCACCCCTACCTTTCTGAATTCCCACCCTCTTGTTGAATTCCCTCTTCCTGGCTTTAACACCCCTACCTTGATTCATCATCCCTAACTTACTGAGTAACCGCTACATTGCTGAATCTCGCCTACCTTTTTTAACCCCCCCTTCCTTGCTGAATCATCCTACCTTGCTTAATCACCCCAAAATCTCTCCATTCCCCCGATCTTGTTGAATCTCCCCTACCTTTTTGAGTTCTCTTTATCTTGCTGAATCCCCCTCCCTTTCTGAATCACCAGTATCATTATTAATCATCCCTACCTTGCTGAATTCACATTACGTTTCTTGATCAAGCCTACCATGCTGAATCACCCCTAAATTGCTTTATCACCCCTACCTTGCTGAATTCCCATTACCTTGTCTACTCACTCCTTCCTTGACTAATGATCCCTTCTCTGATAAATCACTCCTATATTGCTTAAATCACCAGAAAATTGCAAAATTCCCGATATCTTGCTGAATCTCCCCTCCCTTGCTGAGTCACCCCTACCTTGCTTAATCACCCCTACCTTGCTCAATCACCCCTACCTTTATTAATCACCCCTACCTTGCTGAATCCTCCCTTCCTTGTTGAATGAACCCTACCTTGCTGAATCCCCCCTTTCTTGTTGAATTTTCCCTAAGTTGCTGAATCCCCCCTACCTTGCTTCATAAGCATTACCTTGCTCAATTCTTACCTCTCTTGCTGAATCATCCCTACCATTCTTAATCACCCCTACTTTGCTTAATCACCCCTACCTTGCTAAATCACCCCAGACTTTCTGAATCACCCCTACCTTACAAAATTTCCACCCCCTTGCTGAATTCCCTCTACCTTGCTTAGTAACCCATTCCTTGCTTAATCACCCCTATCTTGCTGAATTACCTCTACCTTGCTTAATCACCCCTATCTTGCTGAATAACCCCTACCTTGCTTAATCACCACTGCCTAGCTTAATCCCCCCTTCCTTGTTGAATCAACCGTACCTTGCTGAATTCTCCATATCTTACTGAATCATTCCTACCTTGCCCAATCATCCCTACCTTGCTGAATCACCCCTTCCTTGCATAATCACTCCTACCTTGCTTGATCGCCCCTACTTTGCTGAATTCCCACCCATTTGCTGAATTCCCTCTACCTTGCTTAATCACTTCTATCTTTAGAAATCATCCCTACAATTCTTATCATCCCTACCATGCTAAAGCCCCCCCACCTTGCTGAATCATCCCTACCTTGCTATATTACGCATACCTTGCTGAATTCCCACTACCTTGCTGTATTCTCCCTACCTTGTTTAAGCACTCCTACCTTTCTTTGTCTCCCACACCTTGATTAAGAACCCCTGCCTAGCAATAAATACCCCAACCTTGCTGAATTCCCCCTCTCTTGCTGAATCCCCCCTACCTTGCTGAATTTTCCCTATCTCGCTGAATCTCCCCTACCTTGCTGAATTTCCACTACCTTGCTTTATCACGCCTACCTTGCTATTATTCACCCCTTACTTGCAAAATAACCCCTATCGTTCTGAAATCCCCCCTACCTTGCTGAATCCCCCCTTCAATGTCGAATCAACCCTACCTTGCAAAATCCCCACCTTGCTGAATTCTCCCCAAATTGCATAATCAACCCTACCTTGCTGAATCCCCCCTTGTTGAAGCAACCATACCTTGCTGAATTCTCTATATCTTGCTGTATCCCCCCTACCTTGACTAATCACTCCTACCTTGCTGAATTCTCCCTATCTTGCAGAAGCATACCGATATTTTTCCATGCGGCCTTCCTTGTTGAATCCACCGTATCTAGCTGAATGCCCCATACCTCGCTGAATTCTCCCTATCTTGCTGTATTCCCCCTACCTTGCTTAATCACCCCTACCTTGCTGAATTCCATGAAGCTCCTCTGCTCCCCCTCGCCAAGCATGAACAAGGATTGATCGGCCGTTGAGGGAGTGAAGCCGATCGCCTCCAAGACTTCCCGCAGCTTGATGTACCATTGCCTAGGGGCTTGCTTGAGGCCATAGAGTGCTTTCTTCAGCTTCCAAACTCTGCCACTCCCATCATTGTACCCCTCTGGCTGCTCCATGTAGGTTTCTTCCTCCAAAACGTCGTTGAGGAAGGCCGTTACTATATCCATTTGCTTCACCACCCATCCTTTGATGGCCGCCGCGGCGAAGAGGGTTCGAAGGGTTGTACCCTTCACCACAGGGGCATACACTTCATTGTAGTCCTTCTTCTCTTGCTGCTGATACCCCTTGGCTACAAGTCTGCTCTTGTAGCGCTCGATGTTGCCGTCGGCGTCGGTCTTGAGCTTGAAGAGCCACTTGGAAGAGATTGCCTTACGGCCCGGAGGTAGGTTCACCAAGTCAAACGTGTCGTTCTCGATGATGCTCCCCATTTCTTCATCTGAGGCCTTCTTCCACTCCTTCCCATTGGGGCCCTCCCAAGCCTCCTTGGGATTTGTAGGCTCCCCCGGCATCTCCACTGAAGAGAAGAAGGCAAAGGCGCACTCCTCGCTTTCATCTTCCGCATCATCGCCTAGCATGAGAGCCGAACCGGTCAAGGTTGAGTTGGCTGGTCCTCCAAGCCGGTCATAGCTCAACCTATTAGGGGGCTTAGTCCTCCTTCTCCCCCTTCCTTCCTCCTCTGCTGCAGGGACTTGAATGCTCTCATGGCGTTGCGGTATATCTGGTCGGTTCCCACGAGCACTTGTAGCACGAGGCGGAAGTGACGGTGCACGCTCATCACCTTGCTGCACCTCCTCCTCCTCCTCATCCCCATTCATTTGAGGAGATTGCCTCGTGACTGTGCTGCTGCTACTCAGCTCCAAGGGCAGCTCCACATGCTCCAAGCCGTTACTCTTCAACTCTCCAAGCCGCACACCAATCTTAGCTTGGTTCTCCGCCTTCCACTCCTTGTACGGTATGTTCTCCATGAACTTGCAATCTCTGCTCACCAAGAACTTCTTGGTAAATGGGTCCCAAAGAAGGCATCCCTTGCTGTTTTGAGCCATGCCCAGGTGCACGGCCCATGTTGCCTTGGCATCAAGCTTGTTGTGCCAAAGTTTCTTAGGCACAAGTGCCATGCACATGCACCCGAACACCCGAAGCATATCCACCTTCGGCTTCCTTCAAATCCACTCCACATAGGGCACCTATTTGTCTTCTCCCACATGAGTCAAGGCTCTGTTCTTGGCCACACAAGCATGCCGCACCGCATCCGGCCAAAAGTAATTGGGAAGACCGGCTTCAATGAGAAGTCCCCGAGCCGTCTCCGTGAGTGTCCGATTCGCACGCTCGGCGATGCCGTTCATTGCAGGAGAGTAGGGCATGGTAAGAGAGTGCCTTATGCCTTGCTTCTTCAGCCAAGTAAGGCTAGCAGCTTCGTCTTCTTTTGAAGGTCACTGTAGTCCAGGTCAGCTCCTTCGAGCCGTGTCAATAAGTCGAAGAATTTCTGCACTCCTTCCTCCACCGGTTCGCCTTCGTCAATTCGAAGTGCCGCCATTTGCCGCTCCAAAACCACAGCCACCGCCGCTGTTGCAGGAGCGTGTACACCCTTGAGAGCAGCCCATGCCTTTGGTCCCTTTGCTGGTTCACGCTGAAAAGGCTTGATGTGATGGATTTGGCTGCTCCCCAACGCTTGCCCAAGTAGAAGGTAGCCTTGTGCGCTCTTCCGCACCCACGGGCTCTTCTCCAGGTCGTTCTCAGGGTGCTTCTCCGTTCCTTCCATCACCTCCAGCAGATCATAATGGTCAAAGATGTTCTCCATCTTGAAGGACCACTCAGCAAAGTTGTCACCGTTGAACTTGTCAAGGCCAAACACTCTAGGCTCATCCCTAGAGGGTCCAAGGCTAGGTTGCACCGGAGCAACGGGTGGATCTTGGTGTTGACCTTGTACTTGGGCGTCTTCTCTGCCTCCAACACCTCTGCCAACCCCTTCCTCAGGCCTAGGCATGGTCGAGACGGCTCCAAGGGGCTCTGATACCACTTGTTATAATCACAATAGGCTTAGATGTGCCTATAATGAGAGATAGAGAGCACAGTCGGATTTCCGTCAGACGGCTTCAAATATCGATAACGATCTGCTCGCTGAATCAAACGGTGATCTGTAAGTTGGATCTGGAGCGCGATGCTGTCGTCTATCAGCAGCAAGTTGAATCATGAAATTTCATAAAGATTTGACAACGCTATGGCGGTTTGACTGGCAGGAGGTAAAGCAGCCACTATTGTCTTAGGAGTACAAACTTAGCAAGAAGAGTTCGAGAGGGAGATGGTTCCCAGCCTCTACATACCCCAAGAGCCAAGGTCCAGGTTGGTGGTACACCACCACAGATTCCCCAACCATGAAGAGTCTCGAAACCAACCCTCCAAGGGGCTACACCAAGTGAAATGTAACACTACACGAAGTAACGTTACTATTTTCATTATTTAATATTTATCCGCGTCCCTTGGGCTTGAAATCTTGAGCTCTTGTTCTTGGATCTGCAAGATAAATTCTTCTTGAGTTGATGGGGGCTTGCTGCACACACCTGCGACACGATGGACACTTCACACTCGACAAAATAGAAAAAACACATGCGACACACAAACGACGACTTGACATGCGAGTTGTAGAAACTCGCTAATGTCTTGACCGACACAAACCACATTGTGATACACCATTCAAACACACACACAAGCACTGGATAGCAATGACATAGACTCACAATTCATTCCATGCCATGCATGCACACACACAAACAAGGACGACAAGCCGAGTGCAAGCCATAGGGTTGCACCAACAAGCTCCAAATCTTCGTTCGCGTTTTCACCAGCTCAACATCAACAGTTTCAATTTCTGCAACAGCAGCAACAAACGCAACAACAGCTTCAGCAACAGCACCAGAATTAGCAGCAACAAGAGCAACAGCAATTTCCGCAGCAGCAGATCTCTTTTACTAGACCTGTTTTTCAGGCACCAAACCTTTTAGGCAATACACAGATCAAGACAACTGTACCTTTTAATGGCGCTAACTTCTACCCTTGGATTTTCGAGTTCAAGCTCCTCACGAAATCCGTTGGATTATGGCCGTTCTTCAGTGGCGATTACTCCTATCCTGTTACGGGAACACAGATGGAACAACGAAGTTTTCTTCATGCTTCACTCAGCGCTTACACCGTTCTTATCCGCAATCTGTTGCTGAAAGAGCAGCTTGGTATACGCTCACTTTAATGCGGTGGATACTGCCCGAAGGACATGCTGTAAGAAATAGAGTTGAGATGATTGATTAGGTAAGGAGCCCAAGGCTCTATAAGTGCATGGCAAGGTGAGAGTGAATGGATGAAGGGGGAATTGGAGTGAATCCCCATTGGGATCTCCAGAATCTCCAATTGGGTAATTGGAGATTGGGGGGATCACAATTGGGTGAGGTTGGGATTTGTGAGTACACCCCAACCCACTAGAACATTCATAACCTAAACTAGGATATAAAAGTACAAATACAAACGTGGTATTTGCAGTCTTTTTCTAACACACCCCCATAGACTGCAAACCCGGTCAAGGAGCACATAGCCCCATGGAACATAGAAGGCGATGGTGGTCAGCCTTGCCGAGAGCCTTGGTAAAGAGGTCAGCGAGGTTACAATCTGAGGCGATGTACTGTACCGTCAGCAGGTCACTCTGAACAAGATCTCGGATAAAGAAATGACGAAGTTCGATATGCTTGGTGCGAGAGTGGAACACAGGATCCGTGGTGAGGTGAATGGCAATCTGGTTGTCACACTACAGGGTGGGGGACTGCTGGGGGACTGCTGGGGGTAGCACCAAGAGTGAGGATGTGAGACTTGGTGGCTTGTAGATAGCGGAGGACCCTCTTGGCTGCAGACCAATGCGAGGCAGTGTAGCGTCCGGGGGAGACGTACCGAGAGAGGACACTAACCGGGTAAGCCAAGTCTGGTCGAGTGCACATCATGGCATACATGAGTGAACCGACTAGCTCAGGGTACGGGTCCTTGCAGGCGTCAGGAGAAGGAACTGGAGGGGCCGTGAGCTGATGCTGTAGTGGGAGTGGAGTGGAGACAGAGTTACTGGAGTCCATGTCAAACCGCTTGAGAAGGTTGTCGATGTAGGACTCCTGGGAGAGCGTGATCGTGCAAGCCTGGTGGTCACGAGTGATCTCCATCCCCAGGTAGTTCTTGAGGTCACCAAGATCCTTCATGAGAAGGGCGGAGCTGAGAGCAGACTGGATAGCTGCCATGTCGGCTGGATCTCTGGCGGCTAGAATGAAGTCGTCGACGTAGACGAGGATGTAGAAGGGCTTGGAGGACTGACGAACAAAGAGACTGGAATCTGAGGTAGAGGGATGGAAGTCAAGTGCGAGGAGGACTTCCTTCACCTTGTTGTGCCACTCACGAGGAGCCTGCTTGAGGCCATACACTGGGCGCTTCAGCTTCCACACTGTATTGGCAGGGTAAGTGCCAGGAAACCCCGGTGGGCGTTCCATGTGAACATCCTCCTTGAGCTGGCCTTGGAGAAAGGCGGAGGAGGCGTCCATGGACTTGATCTCGAAGTTGCCGCGAGCGGCTATATCAAGAAGAGCACGCACAGTCGGGACCTTGGCCATGGGCGAGAAGGTTTCGAAGAAGTCGAGATACTCCTTCTGGGTGAAACCCTTCGCCACGTATCGTGCCTTGAACAGTGGAGCTTCGCCTGGGAGTTGTTTGACTTGGAAGATCCATTTTCCGCCGACGGGAGGGGAGTGACGTGAAACACACCAGACCGGGCAGGATGAGGAGGGAGAGGAGCATGGGCTAAAATGCTCCATTCTCCCTATCTCGCTGAATCTCCCCTACCTTGCTGAGATTTCAATATCTTGCTGAATCCCCCTTCCCTTTCTGAATCACCCCTACCATTTTTAATCATCCCTACCTTGCTGAATTCCCACTACTTTGCTGGATTCCCCTTACCTTGTTTAATCACTCCTACCTTGCTTAAAGACCCCTACTTTGATAAATCACCCCTATATTGCTTGATAACGTGAAATTGCAGCATTCCCGATAGGTTGCTGAATCTCCCCTACCATGCTGAGTTCTCTCTATGTTGCTGAATCCCACCTCCCTTGCTGAATCACCCCTACCTTGCTTAATCAACCCTACCTTGCTGAATTCCTTTCCTTGCTTAATCACCCCTACCTTGCTCAATAACCCCTACCTTTATTAATCACCCCTACCTTCCTCAATCAACCCTACCTTGCTGAAGTCCCACCCTTTTGCTGAGTTCCCTCCACCTTGATTGAATATCCCTACAATGCTTAATCATCCCTTTCTTGCCGAATCCCCACAACCTTGCTGAATCATCCTACCTTGATTCATTACGCCTCATTTGCTGAATTTCAAATACCTTGCTGAATTTCCCCTACCTTATTTAAGCACTCCTACCTTGCTTAGTCTCCCATACCTTGATTAATAACCCCTACCTAGCATTAATCAACCCTACCTTGCTGAATTCCCCCTCTCTTGCTGAATCCTCCCTACCTTGCTGAATTTTCCCTATCTCGCTGAATCTCCCCTACCTTGCTAAATTTCCACTACCTTGCTTAATCACCCCTACCATGCTTAATCACCCCTACCATGCTTTATCACCCCTATCTTGCTGAATTCCCACCTCCTTTCTGAATTGCCTCTTCCTTGCTTAATCACCCCTACCTCGATTGATCATCCCTACCTTGTTGAGTCACTGCTTGCTGAATCCCCCCTAACTTGCTGAATCCCACCTACCTTGTTGAACCCCCTCTTCCTGGCTGAATCATCCCTACCTTGCTTCATCATCCCTAAATTGCTCCATCCCCCCTATCTTGCTGAATCTACCCTACCTTGCTGAGTTCTCTTTATCATGCTGAATCCCCCCTCCCATTCTGAATTACCCCTACCTTATTTTATCCTCCCTACCTTGCTGGATTCCCACCACGTTGCTTAATCAACCGTCTCTTGCTGAATCACCCCTACCTTGCTTAATCAACCCTACCTTGCTGAATCCCGCCTACCTTGCTGAATTCTCCCTATCTTGCTGAATCCCCCCTACCTTGCTTAACCACCCCTAACTTGCTGAATTCTCCCTATCTTGCTGAATCATCCCTACCATGCTTAATCACCCCTGCCTTGCTTAATCTCCCCTACCTTGCTCAATCACTCCTGCCCTGACTAATCACCCCTACCTTGCAGAATTCCCACCCCCTTGCTAAATTCCCTCTACCTCGAAAAAATTACCCCTACCTTGCTGAATCACCCATACCTGCTGAATCCCCCCTCCTTTGCTGAATCCCCCCTTCCTTGCTTTATCATCCCTACGATGCTTAATCATCCCTACCTTGCTGAATTCCCCCTATCTTGGTGAATCCCCCCTACTTTGTTGAATTCTGCCTAACTTGCTCAATCCCCACTTCCCTGCTTAATAACCCCTACCTATATTAATCAACCCTAACTTGCTTAATCACCCCTAGCTTTCAAAATCACCCCTACCTTGCTGAATCCCCCGTTACTTGTTGAATCAACCCTACCTTGCTGAATCCCCCCTACCGTGCTGAATTTTCACTATCTTGCTGAATCCCCCCTACCTTGTCGAATTCTTCCTAACTTGCTGAATCCCCCCTTCCTTGCTTAATCACCCCTATCTATATTTATCAACCCTACCTTGCATAATCACCTCTACCTTACTGAATCACCCCTACCTTGCTTAATCATCCCTACCTTGCTTAATCATCCCTACCTGACTGAATCCCTCCTACCTTGCTTTACCCCGCCCCTTCCTTGTTGAATGAACCCTACATTGCTAAATCCCCCTACCTTGCTGAATTCTCCCTATCTTGCTGAATCATCCCTCCCTTTCTTAATCACCCCTACCTTGCTTTATCACCCCTACCTTGCTAAACCACCCCTACCTTGCTTAGTCACCCCTACCTTGCTTAATCACCCCTACCTTGCTGAATTCCCACCTTTTTGCTGAATTCCCTCCACCTTTGCTAATCCTTTCTATCTTGATAAATCATCCCTACAATTCTTAATTATCCCTACCTTTCTGAATCATCCCTACCTTGTTTAATTATGCATACCTTGCTGAATTCCCACTACCTTGCTTTATTCCCCCTACCTTGTTTAAGCACTCCTACCTTGCTTAGTCTCCCATACCTTGATTAGTAACCCCCACCTACCATTAATCACTCCTACCTTGCTGAATTTTCCCTATCTCGCTGAATCTCCCCTACCTTGCTGAATTTCCACTACCTTGCTTAATCACCCTACCTTGCTAAATCACCACTACCTCTATTAATCACCCCTAACGTTCTGAAATCCCCTCTACCATGCTGAATCTCCCCTTCCATTTTGAATCAACCCTACCTTTTGAAATCTCCACTACCTTGCTGAATTCTCCCCATCTTGCTGAATCCCCGCTACCTTCCTTAATCACCCCTACCTTGCTGAATTCTCCCTACCTTGCTTAATCACCCCTTACTTTCTCAATCACCCGGGCCTCGCTTAATCACCCCTACCTTGCAGATTTCCCACCCCTTGCTGAATTCCCTCTACCTTGGTTTATCACCCCTTCCTTGCTTAATCACCTCTTTCTTGCTGAATCCCCCCTCCCTTGCTGAATCTCCCCTTCCTTGCTTAATCACCCCTATCTACTCCCTATCTTGCTGAATTCCCACCCTCTTGCTTAGTCACCCTTACCTTGATTAATCATCCCTACCTTGCAAAATTGTCCCTTTCTTACTGAATCATCCCTCCCATTCTTAATCACCCCTACCTTGCTTAATCACCCATACCTTGCTTAATCACCCCTACCTAGCAAAATCTCTCCTACCTTGCTTAATCACCCCTACCTTACTTAATCACCCCTACCTTTCTGAATCCCCACCCTCTCGCTGAATTCCCTCTTCCTGGCTTTAACACCCCTACCTTGATTCATCATCCCTAACTTACAGAGTAACCGCTACATTGCTGAATCCCCGCACAGG